GTCCTGCTTTCCATCACTGGCACTTTTCCGAGACTGAACAGAATTTAAAAATGTATTTAAGTGCCAAACTGGGAGCTATAAGAGTTTACAAAACCGTGCAGAATTGCTTGACAATTAAAAGCAGCTGGGCTGGAGCAGTTTGACTTTGTATTGAAAAATTTTGGCCCATTCCTTCTCTAATTGCTGTGGTGAAATTGTAGATGGCAATTTGAGACTTTTTTCATTTTTCCAATTCTCTCTTGTCTCTTGAAGGTCTACGGCAAAGAACAGGTGTACCCTGTTTTCTTATTCTCTTATTTCCATCTGTCTGCTCATGCTCATCACTTGCTTCCTCATCCACTTCTTTCTAAACAATCAAACAATTGTCTTAACTCGGTCAGAGAGATGCTGATGATTGCTCTCTTGGAAGTGTCCTCTGCTGCAGTGGCTGACGGCAACTGGATGAAAGCTCTGTGAAGCTGGGAGGTGTGATGACTCTCCCTTTCCCTTCTTTATTATTAGAAAACCACTTGAGAACAGCTCTTCACCACAAGTTACTTTCACTGAACAGGATTGTGCCTTTTGACCTGTATTCGGGGCTCATGCCATGTGGTACTGGTCGAAACCTAGAGATGTAAGAGACCTCAACAGAGGAGGTCTTACTACAGATACTGTGGGTCCAATATAAAAGATATTAGCTGGGACTAAAAGTAAACCGAGATCACTACTTTCAGAAACAGCCAAGTGAACAAGACAAGAGGGTACAAGTTCTGGGTGTAAGGGGTAATTTCATGACATACGCAGGAAGTATTTCTTTATCTGGAAGGTGATTAACACCTGGAATAGAGTTACCAGGAAGTGTGGACGTGCTCAGGATGTTGGACTCATTTAAGAAATAGTTTAATGGTGTAGCAAGAAGACGGTAGGGTTGGTGTTCTCAAAGGATGAGATCTAATGGGCTAACTAAAGAGCCTTCTTCATACAAACCTCTCTTATGATGTTGTGAAATGGGAAATAATGGGAAAGAAAAGTAAAATCTATTCTCATTCTGGATAACCCATTTAAAAAATAAATCTCATGTATTATTTTTCTTATTTTGCTTTATTTTATTAAATTCCATTGTCAGAAATAGCTTCTTTTTTTAAAAAAAAATTAAAAAAACAATGTGAGGCTTCATGTCAAACCTTCCATTCTTGAGAAATGACTTAAGTTTTATCGATTGAGGATATGTATCTGCAACTGTTGCCTTGGTCTAAGAAATTGTAATCCATTTTACAATTCTCCTAATTGTTATAGCAGGTGACTGATTGGAAGTTCATATAGACCTCTTAGAGCTGTACTTGCTGAGTTGAGGCAATTTGTGAGATGAGTCAGTGTCTGTTGGGAGTGGAACATGATACATGGTTCATATTTCTTTTGCAACCTTGAGAGCCATTAGATAAGGCTTGTATTTCACTCAGCCTCGGCTTGGAACTCTGGCAGTAAACATCAAATGGTCCATTACGCCACTGAGTCAGCCAGCGTTCTGCATTTGGGGATCTAATCCTTGAAGGCAATTTTTCAAAATCTGGAAGTAATTTTTCAACAAGTCTTCAATTTTCATGCCATGTTTCCAGTGTGATCACTCAAGGATGCCCCCTCCCTCCTTAAATGAGTGGAAAGATACACTGATATTATATTCAATCTCGACAAGTAAATTACTGACTGGAGGAACAGAAAAGCCTTCTCAGGAGGGAGGGACTTGCTACAGGGAATGATGCCACATTACCAACAACAACTTGCACTTATATAGCACCCTCCATGCAGGGTAGTATCTCAGAGCGCTTAACAGTTGCAGAGCATGACCTCCTAGCCGGTGGGGGGCGGGGGGGTGGGAGGAGAGGTGGCCATAAGCATAGTCGAAGAGGAAGATTTTCAGGGGACTTGAAAAAGAGGAGAGAGAGAGCAAGGAGGAGGGATTGAGGGAGAGTGTTCCAGATATTCAAGGCATAGTGGCTGAAAGCACAACCTTCGATGGTGGGGCAGATGGTCCAAGGGATGAGCAGGAGGCCGGTGCCAGTCGAGCGGAGGCGTTGGGTGATGGGTTGGGGAGTGAGAAGGTCGGAGAGGTAGGGAGGTGCCAGGGAGTGAATGGAGCGATGGTAGAGGCAGAATTAATATTGATTTTTGAGAAGAAACTAGATATCTAAAATGGAACAATTTAAAGGGTTATGGGAGGATGGGTGTAGGTAAATGTGACTAAATTGATTGCTCTTTCAAAAAAGCAGCGCAAACACGTTGAGCCAAATGGCCACCTCTGTGCTGTGAATTGGTATGATTAATAAAGATTTTCCGTGTTGGGAATAGTGTTCTAATGAGTCTCTTAGAATTTCAGGTTTGCTTTAATTATAATAAGAATTATAAGGCCTTCTTGCTTAATTATAAGATGGTCCTTGGGAAGTGCGTACTACTGTATAGTGTTTGTCCTTGGCACAAACACAGCATGAAAATTAGGACCCAGGTCACACGGGATGACAGTAGTATTAATATAAAAACTGGAAACTTCATAATGATAGTGCTGTACATTTATTGATCAAACTGCAAAGAACATAATCTGCAGTTCTAAAACTGCTCTGGCATTGGCTATTGATAAGTCATTGAAACAAAATAAACTTGTCTTTATGATAAATATATACAACGCAATATCCTCTGGGATAAATTACGAGCGGAAAGATTGTATTTTGAAAGAAGTATGTTTTTGTTTACGAGATCACGATGAATCTAAATGTAAATGCTATGATTTACAAAGTAAATAGTAAATCTACCCTTATTTTCTTGGGTGGTATCTAGGAATTAATACTCTGTTGAACTTCATATTACTCCTATTGTGCTATTTTTTTCACAATGATGAAAATATTGAAAAATATAATGCATGCTGCAATGTAGAAGCAATGGACTTTTCTAAAGCTAATATGCCTAATAAAGCTAATAAGCTAATCTACACATTATAATGAATAGAAACATAGTTTGTGTTTGACCAAATAAAATGCTGAGTGATGTATTTAAATTGTGCTGCTGAAGTTTTTGCGTTTTCTATAGTGATTTTAAAAAACACAATATAAAAGCTCTAGCCATTTTTTAAAAATGATCCTAGAGTCTCTTAATTTTATTTTTTAGATGAATCACCAAAGAAATCTTGATAATGTGTGATGGTCCTGTTTCAACAATCCAATGCTTTTACTTTAAAACTAAAATAATTTACTTTAAATGTTGTATAATCCTAAAAATACGCAAATGGCTATACCTCTGTCTACCTCTTTCTTGTGTCTGTTCGGTCATAAATCACTGGTCATACTTGGTACAATTTAAATACATCACTCAGCATTTTATTTGGTCAAACACAAACTATGTTTCTATTCATTATAATGTGTAGATTAGCTTATTAGCTTTATTAGGCATATTAGCTTTAGAAAAGTCCATTGCTTCTACATTGCAGCATGCATTATATTTTTCACTTGGTGCATTCAATGTTTTTCCAATTTTAGCATTAGTTATGCTTTTTTGCATGCTTCTTACCTACTCATTTCAACCTTGTCTTCCTCTCTCTTATCTCTCTTCCTCCATGATAGCAGAGAAGGCACACCCCTTTCAAGCAGGGTATTTCAATTTCAGTTGATGTTTTACTTTCAGTTGATGTGATAGTGAATAATTGTTGAGTTGCTCAGTACAGTGATAATTTACATGCGCTGAAAACTGATAATAATTGTGTATTATTACTGTGCACAATCATTCTTCTTTCATAAAAAACTGAGTGGGGGTAAAATTCTTCTTGCCACTAAGGATAATGACTTTTGACAGCGTGCCCTTATAACAGGCTTGGCTGAAATGTCCTTTCCCCCCTCTGCTCCTTCCCCTGCCAATTAGCCTGCTGACATTCACTGTCAAAGCCTACACATGAATAAAGAGCAATTGACTGTATAGTGCCTATGGAATTGTGCCTCATTTTACTGTAGTAAAGAAAAGCAAACTAATATGTTCGGGGAAGACTTTGGTGGAGACCAATTAGTGAGGGAGGAAAAAGATGCTGCACCATTATATTTCACAAGTAAATTGTTTCTGAATAATGGGAAGAAACATTTTGAATCAGATGCATAGGTGATGGAAATTTTTAGTACAACCTTTTCAGCAATTATCCTATCAATTTGGTAGCTTTAATTATCTTGGGTCTGGCAGTAACAAGTATTTATATCTATTGACTGCCATGTTCGAATACATATGGGTAAAAGGTCCGTTCAGCGTTATGTGAAATGGAAATTTTGCCCAACAGGCTGTGGTTAAACAGAAATTATCTCCCACCTAAAAAGGTTAGCATTAAGGCTACTTAGTGTAATTTCATAGATAGCAGCAATTCATTTTCGTAAATGCTTTCTTAGTATAGTCTTTATTGTATCAGATCATGCAGAAGCTGAAAACACAAATGTTTCAGTTGCTACAACACTTCATATTAAAACAACCTTAATCTTTTATTTGTAACTAGACTTGGTATTGTGGAGGTAAGATGCACCTGTATGAGATCTGCAGTGTTTTTTGACTAAAGGCGCTTGTTTTGGGGATGTTGTTGTGGGGGGAAATGATAAATAACACTACACTACTCTTGTGCTCTTTTTATGTTGAATTCCTTTGAAATATTTTACATTTTAAACGTACTATTATTAAATACACATCCAAAACCTGACAATGTCACATTAGTTTGTGAGAACAACAAATCTTTTTTGTGTCAAATTTAAATTTCATATGTTTTAGTCAATCCCAATGCAGAAATTAGACTAACAATACCACACGTTGTGTGAGTGTAGTTTTACCCTGTCCTCGGAGTATCATCCTGTCTGGATGTTACTATATTTTCTTGCAATCAAACGTAGTTGCTAGCTTGCTGGGATTAGACAAAGTATTTTTTCTCCAAAAGCAGTTTAGTATTAGATTGAATACATGAAGCGATTTGAGTATTATAGTTGATCTTTATTTCTCATTGTATTTTGCAGGTTGCCTAACGTGGCCTAGGAGTGAAAACCTGATCATCTGGTATAGCAAAGGATTTGAAAACCTACACTTCTGGATAAACGGAAGTGCTGCCCGCAGTTTCTTCAGCATGGCCTCCGTCCCCCTGTTTCCGATGATGAGTAGTGTGCCAATCAAAGCTTGAAGGGAAACAAGAGCGATGGGATTGCTTTGTCATGGTCACTTAGAATAAATGGCATTTAAAGAGGGGGTGGAATGCTGCTTGCTGCTGTTAGTGCTGCTGCTGTGTAGAGCTCCGTGGGACGCATTCACATTCAAAACGATCCAGTGCTCACAATGGTTCATTTTTGGAAATTTGTAAGGAATTTTCGGCAGCTGGAGCTGCACAGGTTGATCTTATTGCTAATAGCATTTAGTTTGGGGTCCATGTGTTTCTTGGCTTATTATGTGACCAACAGTCCTAAAATTAAGGAGGCCCCACCTTTACCTTTCAGTGATTGCAATAACCAGCACAGAAAACCACTTCCGCCTCAGTCAATCCGGCGGTTCATGCCATCTGTGGACACATCGAGAACTGACCCCGTGGTCTTGGTTTTTGCTGAAAGTATTTATTCTCAATTAGGACAAGAAATTGTGACAATTTTGGAATCGAGCAGGTTTAAATACAGGACAGAAATAGCTCCTGGTAAAGGGGATGTGCCTACCTTAACGGACAAAAATCACGGTCGATACGCTCTCATTGTATATGAAAATATCCTGAAATATGTGAACCTGGATGCCTGGAACCGGGAGCTGCTAGATAAATACTGTGTGGAGTACGGTGTTGGAATTATTGGTTTCTTCAAAGCCAATGAAAACAGTTTGCTAAGTGCTCAACTCAAAGGTTTTCCTCTTTTCCTGCACTCTAACCTTGGTCTGAAGGACTACCACATCAACCCAAATGCCCCCCTGCTTTACGTGACCCGAGCCAATGAAGTGGAGCAGGGACCATTGCCAGGAGATGACTGGACTGTATTTCAATCCAATCACACCACGTATGAGCCAGTGCTTTTGGCCAGTACCAAGTCTGCAGAGTCTATTCCTCACCTAAGTACACACAAAGCATTACATGCAACTGTAGTCCAGGATCTAGGACTGCACGATGGAATTCAGAGAGTTTTCTTTGGAAACAACTTAAATTTCTGGTTGCACAAGTTGATTTTTGTGGATGCAATAGCATATCTGACAGGGAAACGACTGTGTTTGCCTCTGGACCGGTACATCTTGGTTGACATTGATGACATCTTTGTAGGAAAAGAAGGAACTAGGATGAAGGTCTCGGATGTTGAGGTAAGGAATCCTGGTCTTACATTTACAGATCAATAAATAGTAAATGTTAGAAGTTTTGAGCATAATCGTTAAATACAATGACAGCGTAAATCTACACCTAAGGTATAAAGAGCAAGACATCGCCACAGAGGAACATTTGCAAAATCAATAACCTTGTTTATTGTCATAGATTATTTTGTTGTTTTTAACATTTGATATTGCATGTCCATTAAGGATTTGCTTTGAATTACAATTTGGACCTGTCTACATCTTACCAAATGAATCACTGTCTTTTCAAATATTGTGAAACATTCTAAAGTACTTTGGACGTGATGAATATTTATCCCTTTCCAATATTCTGACTGATATGTGGCAATAGCCCACTAGTTTCATGACCAAATAACACATGATCTGAATGACAGCAGGTCGTGCCGCTGTGAGGGGCCTGAGTAAAGGAATAAACCTGTCAAATACTGCACTACATTCCCCCAAATTGTGTTAGAAGAGAATAATGGTATAGAGTGGTAGAGATGCAGTAAGAGGGAGAAATAAGTGTTGGTAACAATGAAGAAAAGGAGAGCACAAAATCATTTAAACCAAGGTAAATATTATATCATAAAACATAAATGAACAGTGCTACATATCAGTGCTCTGAAATGCTATTTTGTGTGAAAGCACTACATAAATGCAAGTTGTTGTTTTTGTTGTGCAGCGTCTGTTGTATCTGTTTCAATTGAAATGATGCTTATGTAACCTGGAAGTTTCTTGTTGTGGATTCAACTCTTTTGCACTCAGGGCAGAATCTGCCTCATCAACAGCAACTCAGGAAAAATTGCCCACAAGTGAATACGTACATCCACAGTTTCCAAAAACACCCAAATATTACTTACTGACATCTCAGAAAGGTCCAGTCATGTGATAACTGCTTAACAATACCGTTTTAGTGTTCTCATGACTACGTTTGATTATGCAATTAGAAACGTCCAACTGATGGCGCATTTAGTAGGTTGCATTATATCTTCTACTTCGTCACAATGTATTTGATTTAGCTAGATCAATATTGCAATACATAACTGCTGCAAAAGACTGCAACAGATCATTATTGAGACTAGATATAAATTGAATATGGACCTGGTCTTCAGGATTTAATTAAGACAGACACCCAGAAGGAAGGAGGAAAGCCTTTTTTCTCCTTCTCCCATACTTCAATGAGTTTATCCTTAAAAATGCACAAAATAATTAAATAGGTTAGCTTAGTTGACCTCACAACTGCATGTTTACAACGATGGATATTATACTCTGTTTTGAAGTTTGTGCTGGTACATAGCAATTTAATTTCTTTTAAGTGAACTGCAATGACTTTGCTACCCTGAAACATGAAGAAGTTTCTAAATCTAAATATACTTCGGGCCTATAATTAGCATAGTTAATATTGTAAAGTGGTCTTGAGAAAACACTATCGGGAGCACTGCCTCTGTCACTCCCTCTCCGATTGTGATGTTTGTTTACAAGATTGCGAGCGAGGTTTGGGTAAAGATGCCCTTCATCTTATTTGACTTAATCCCTTCGGGAATCCACCCTACTGTTTTCCCATTGCAGGGTTTTGTCTTTTCTTAATGAGTCCAGAGCCTTGGCCTCAATCAGCTTTCCTGGTAAACTATTCCATATTGATTATTCTCTTGTCTACAGGAATATTCCTGTTGTATGTCCTGAACTTGCCCTTCACAACCTTGAATCTGTCTCTTCTTGCCCTGCTGCCTTGGTATTCATTTTGTTTGCTGTATCAATGTGCAGAATCCAGTATATGTGCTCTGTGTTTATGCAGCATGAGAATGCCAGACATTCCCTACAGTGCTGTTTTCTAGCAGTGGGATAAACTTGGAAGTCCCAGTGATGAAACAGAGATTATACATGAAGGAAGCCTGTTCTTAGAGGGTAGACGTGAAGATTGATGGGAGCTAAAAATCCAGCCCCAGTTTGATTAATGGCTTCATATATTCTCTAGTACTGACAAATTGCTGTGATATCGTTGCTATAAATGGACCGATTTAGCAAACGTTTTTTGAGGATATTACCCACGTTTTAGTAATCAGTTCAGTATTACAAATGTCACAATATAGTGCATTGTTGTAAAGTACAGAATTGTGTTTTTCAAAAGAAATGTGAATTTGTAGCTGCGGTAGTATTCTGTGTGAAGTTGTTTTCCTCAAACTTCAGGTGCCTCAAGTTTTAAAATGGAAATCTTCAAACCAAGAGTCTTTTATGGCTATTTTAGTGTTAAAAATAAATAGGCAAAAATGTAATCCCAAAACAGCAATGCTTACATAATCACTGTTCCTTCTCATCTTTTACTTTTTGCATAGTGTAGACATTTAACACATTGCTAAGAATTTGTTTTTAAAAAGCTTTTTCAGAACCTATCAGAAAGGGATTAAAAACAATTTTTTTAAAAAGTTCACTGCAGTAGTGCAGTGAAATCTGTGGCTTTTTCCATCTGGTTCAGTGAAACATTTCAGGAAATCCTCATTTAAATAGCTAATGCTTAAATTGAATACAAAAACATTGGTTTCAATTCCAAACTTGGGGTGCCTGAAGTTTAAAGGAAATAACTTCACACTGTATCTTACTGCAGCAAAAGAATTAAATGTCTTTGGAAAACACAATGCTTCACAAAAAAAAAGTACTATAATGTGATGAAAGTGGAATAAACTTGAAATGTCTTACATCTCCCTCATTGTCCCCTTTTCTTTCCTGCCTTCCTGAACTCATGCTGGGCTACAGTTCCACAGGTGCTGGCAGCACTCCAACATCTGGCCCAACAGCCATTCTTCATGTATAAGACTTGACATTGAGGGCTGTAAGCTGTTCAATGGTGAAGCACATTTCAGCACAACCCAACCCTACCTTCACCCAACAACACGCACATGCACCAAATGATAATTCTTACATTTGGTATAGCATCTTTCATGTCAGGAGGACGACTCAAAAGGGCTTCACAGGATTTTACTGTATGTTGTGACTGTGTATGTTGTAGGTGTACGTTCCAGAAGAGATTAACTGGATTGTGATCAGATTCTTGTTTTCTCTTCCACATCCTCCCCTTCCCTTTAGCCTCAGAAAGCTGAGGTCAATTTTATTGTTCCCTGACTTTATTTTGGCTAAATTGCAGAGATCAGAGAGCCATTCACTGTACTACATCACACAATATATTTATCCAAGCTATTGTGGGAGTCAACATTTCAGTTGTATTAGGACATTAACTGACAGAATCTGATTGAATGATGTATAGTTGTTTGGCAAATAATAGTCGCGCTGTTTTCTTTGATCTTTGGAATGCTGATCTTGCCATCCTCTCCAAACAACAACATTTATTATTACATATTATAGATTTTGAAAAGCAAAGATCTATTCAAGAAGCAATAATATTGATTCTCCTTCTTTGGCTTATTAATAAAATTAATAATAATTATCTTCCTTGCGTTTCAAATAGCACCTTTCATTCACAATGGGAGGATGTCTCAAAGCACTTCATGGTAAAATATATTACCGTATATTTTGTGGGTGAACGCAACCGATTTGAACGTATCAGTGTCCCATAAACGGTCATGAAGTGAATGACTAACTGTATCTTGAGGATTATTGGCCAGAACACCAGGAAAAATTCCCTTGTTTATTTGAATAGTGCCATGAGATCTTTAGCATCTACTTGAACAGACAGATGGGACTTCAGTTTAACATCTCAGCAACTCCTACACCGCCCTAACACTGCGCTGGAATGTCAGTACAGACTGAGTTCAGATATGGGACATAACCTTCTGACTCAGAAGCGAGAGCGCTACCAACTGAGCCAGGATGACATTGATGCATGATCTGTACTGCGGCAGCTAAATTAGGATTATATATCACGAGTGTAAAGGGTGTAGGCTGGGAGAAAGCATATTGTAAAAATGCACTTGTTCTATAAAATCTAAAATTTTAAAATGTTAGAATATTGGAGTATCTACACTGTAATACTTTACAGATAGGCTCTAGATTCTTCAATACACAACCAGTCAAGTAATGCAATTGTTTCACCTGGAAGCTGGCAGCAACATTTACTGTGAATGAATGACAGGAATTGATTTTGGAAGTTTTCTGTCAGTACTGGCACAGATTTTGTACAGTTTTGTTTGTGGAAAGCTAAGGAATATTTCCCTTCTGCTCAAGATTGATATTTTGGGGCAATGTATGTTACACATATAAGTAATGGATGTCATCTTCTTTCAAACTCTTAACCCATCAATAGAGAGAAGTCCTGTAACAGTATAGTTTTGTGTTGTTGAGTAATCCAGGACATTCGGTTTTCTTTGTTCACTTGTAGCTTTTCACCTAAGATCAGTCTGACATTTTCTATAAGTATAACAATTGACATGCGGTTCCCCATCTCAGTGGACATGTGAAGGCAATTATTACGGTGTTAAGCTCTGGGTACTGGTAAACTTGTCTTTTGACGTTTCTTGTATTAAATAAATAATAATAATAAATCATTGAAGTAAGAAAGATTTGGGTCACACAGTTCATGCACATCTTCAGTTACAGTCTGCCAAACACTGGCAAAATCTTATCAATCACTAGGAGTCTGATTCAGAGAATTATAACTTTTTTTTAAATCCCAGCAGAATTTAGTTGAAATACAACCCTGCTTGGTGACTTTCTGTGGGTAGCAATCTTTTGCAAGTTAAGGAAAAAGATGGCATTCCAGTTCAATTAAGACTCACTTGTCCAGAAATATATAGGAATTTAGGAGCAGAAAGCTAGTCAGCTCATCAAATCTGGACATTCCAATGCAAATGCTTTCTCCCCGAATCCCACTAGTTTGCCTTTTTGCCACATTCTTTAATCTTTCCACTTTCTAACTGCTTATCCATCTCTGATTTATGGATTATAAAAATTCATGCCACTGATGATAAAACTGGGGAGGTCTTACAAAGCAGCACAGATGGTGAAAGCTTCCTTCCCTGCCCGATATCTTTTTAGAGGAG